TTATAGACCTAGTGAGTCGAGTCGGGTCCGGGTCCAGGTCCATGTACTACCTAGTCGGATTTGTCCAGGTCAGGGTCGACCCAACGACCCATTGCCACCCCTAGTCTCCAAAAAGGGTATAATCTATTGGACACTTAGGGGCCATTTGGATCCATGTAAATAGATTACTCTATGTAATCTAATTCCATTGAAATCCAGTTTGAGAAAAGTATTTCTTATGAAATATATTTCGGCAGTTTGAGATAGTTTATCTCTTTCTAAATATTTGAGAAAAATTGCTTTCTAAAAAATTTCAAGTAGTTTCTCTCTAAAAATTTTGATATAGTTTCACTCTCTAAAATTTAATATTATTTATCTCTCTAAAATTTTAATATATTTTCTCTCCCTAAAACTTAAAATTTGAGATAGTTTCTCTCTAAAATTGTTAAAATAGTTTCTCTCACTAAAAATGTTTAAGTACTTTATCTCTTTAAATATTAAAATTTGAAATAGTTTCTCTCTCTAAAATTTTAAGTAGTTTCTCTATCTAAAATTTGATATAATTGATCTCTCTAATATTTTAAGATATTTTCTTTCTAAAACTTAAAATATGAGATAGTTTCTCTCTCTAAATTTTTGAGATAGTTTATCTCTCTAAAAATTTCAAAATATTTTTGCTATAAAACTTAAATTTTGAAATAGTTTATCTCTCTAAAAATTAGAAAGTTGCTCTCTCTAAAAAATTTCAAATACTTTCTCTATCTAAAACTTAAAATTTGAGAATTTTTTTTGATATAGTTTCTCTCTCTAAAATTTTTGAGATATTCTCTCTCTAAAAATTTTCAAGTACTTGCTCTTTCTAAAACTTAAAATTTAAGATAGTTTCTCTCTTCAAAATTTTTGAAAATAGTTTTTCTCGCAAAAAATTTTGAGATATTTTATTTCTATAAAAAAATTTAAGTACTTTATCTCTCTAAAACTTAAAATTTGAGATAGTTTCTCTATCTAAAGTTTTAAGATGCTTCTTTTTCTAAAACTTAAAATTTAAGATAGTTTCATTTTTTAAAAAAAATTGAAATAATTTTTCTCTCTAAAATTTGTAAGTACTTTCCCTCTCTATAACTAAAAATTTGAAACAATCTCTCTCTCAGAATAAGGTCCTTTCCATTTACAAAACTTAAAATTTGACATGCGATTGGTGCTCCCCCAAAGTGGGCACACAAGTAGCAATCCTCTACAAACCCCGCCCATTATAAAATGCTGCTTATTTTATAACGGGTGATTCTATTCCCCGTCCGTTACCGTTATATATGGTAACGGGGTAGTTTAGTAATTTCCCCAACACAGCACTTGGAGGGCACTTTTGCCATTTCAAGAAAGCAGGCACGCCTCATAAAAAAGCAGCAGCCAAAAGGCCAATTCAGTAATATCTTAACACATTGATGCGTACAGTAGTAATTTTACCCCTGGAGAATAAACCAGGCGAGTAATTAATTCCCTTTGCTTTTGATTCCAATAAATCGCCACTTTGATGTAGGCGAAACTGACGATCATTTGCAGTGGTTTGGTGTTTGTGGTGGCGAGTGGAGCTCCATTTGGGAGCAGATCGGCGATTTAATCGCCATCTTCTCCCCCCTTAGAAAACCCATTTTACAGCTTTTGTTTGTTTTTTGGGTTTCCTCAAATTTTCCTATTTGTGTATTTTTTTCGGGTTTTTTCTGTTTTATTCGGTTTATTCTGAGTAGTTTCCTTTGGGAGGTGTCAAAAAATGGAGAGAATGTTCAATTGAGGATTGTCCGTGTTTTTTTCTTGGAGATTTGGATCAAAGGAAGATGATTGAGCAGTTCATAAATTTTGTGATTCGGCCACCAAGGTAGATATCTTTTTTTAAAAAAAAATCTTATTTATTTGTAATTTTTTCATGATGTAGCTGGTCGAGTTGCAAGCATGAATTGAATTTCATGGATAATGATAAATGTTGGTTTTTCTCATTTTATGTCTGAAATTTGGTATTACACCATCTTTTGTATTTGTTTTTTTGGTGATATATCATGGTGTTATAGTGAATGTATTGTGATAGAGTTTTTAGTTTTTTATTTGTTTTTGTATTTTTTTTTTTTAGTATCAAGAATATTGTATGTTGGGCTTTTCTAAAATTGAGATTCAGGTCTGGTGTGTAAAAATTTATGGGTTTTTATCAAGGCATTGAGTTTAGGCTTAATTGTTCGGTGCAATGAAATTGTTAAAGGGTGTGTTGCAACCATGAATTGATTACGGGTTTAACATGGATGCATTTAACTGGAAAATTTCTATTTGGAATCTTGAAAAAGTGAACATAATATGGTAGCATGCAATTCCTTCATGTGAAAGATTGTTTGTGGGTTTTATTATAATTTTATTATTGATGAAGTGTACTGAGAAACTTGTTAATATCGAACTAATTTTTGTCTATACTTGCAGAAACTTGTACCTTTTTTGGTGTAAATTAAGTTACCAAGAAGCGTATGTGGAAACCTGTGAAGAATTAGGTTCCCAGCATAGAAGAGAAATTAAATAAAAAATGAGAACCGTTTTGGGTTTTGATTCTAGAGTAGTTCATTTGGGTCTGGTGCAATTTTGGCTATTTTTGGACTTGTTTCTTTTATGTTCTCTTGCTACCAATTTAGACATAAGGTTCAACCTAGTTCTTTTAGTTTCAGTTTAAGATGTTTCATTTAGTGCTTTGTGTTATTTGTGCCTAAAGAATATTTGGAGTTGGAAATCGGGGATTAAACGCTTCGTACTTGATTCTTGTGTGTAATGCATGGAGGCGTGACACTCGTCGTCGCAGGGAGGCAAATGATATCATTAGATGTCAGAGACCCTTTACTATTTACTCAAGCCTTTACTATATTTTGCTCAATTTTCACATTGATTGTAATTTTAATTACAAATTGAATGTTCTCAGTGATTTGAATGATATGTAAGTGCATAATCAGTTATGGTGAGGCAGTTGAAAGGCTACCATTTTGGTAATTGAGATCTAAAGACATGCATAATAATGTGCACTTCATAATTTCTCATTTGACGGGTTGCCTAGTTCTAATGTTGGCCTGCATTTTAAGTTGAACTAGAAAATTCCCATATGACACCTGAATTAAACGAGCTTATTGCTTTGAGCTATGTAAGACTTTAGCTTTCCCAGCTCTCCAAAAGCAAAGGCTTTATCCTTGCTAACAGGAGCTAATAATAGCACATAATCAGCAGTAATTAGTGAGACCATCTTTGTAATTCGGACCTGTAGGTTTACATAGCAATGCATGCTTTATGTTGTTCCTTTTCTTTTTTGGAGAGGGTTTTAATAGCAGTATGCGATTTAAACTAATCAGGAAATTAGAAACTTTCCGTACTCTACCTGCTATATTAAGGTTGTCAATGGTGAGTAGAAGATTAGCTAACCTCACCATGAAATCTGCATGAGCTATCAGTGCTGCAACTGCCTACTTGTTGTGATTTGACTGTCTAGTCCCAAATATTGGTTCCCAAAATATTGCAATGAATCCATGCTTCTATACTCCCTTATTGAGGGAATATCTGTACCTGTCTTCCAAATTGATTCCTCACACTCCCCTCTCACCGCCCTGAATTCATCTGTAACAGGTTTGTCACCTTGTGGCCCTCAGTTAAAATCCACAATTTAGACTGTTTCGTGAGAGATATTGTTGGGGGGATTTTTTTTTTTTGATGTGTGAAAGCTAATATAGAGTTGAAAGAGGGCCCAACCTGTTGCGATCTAGTGACCTCTTGATCGGTGGTTAAATGCGCTACCACTGAGCTATTGACCTGTTTGTTGTTGATGGAGACTATCTCGAAACTCATATTTGACAGTGCAGCCATTGCACACCCTAGTCTGTCGACTGTGGGTGGCATCTTCAGGAATACTTATAAGAGTAATTAATTTATTGTAGGCATGCTTGCATGGCTTACCCATATCTATCTTCCAAAGAATACTGGACTTTTGCCCGTTATGGCCTTGATTGTGTTGTGTCATTTAAGCCAGTAAATGCAGCTCATCTGAAGCAGCTCATATACTGGGATTTCCTTCATTATGTCTTGATCAGTGTTCAGAAACTTGTTTTGTGTTTCTGCCACTTATCCGAGTCAACTCAATTTGCTGGGTCTCCGTTTGTATAATGGAAATTTCAGATTCAGCCCTGTTATCAAAATAAAATATTATGGAGTCATCGCCAAAACATACGGTAGATATTCGGTAGCATGTGTTCCCTATTAGAATTGATCTAAAGTTCGACTCCTACTGTTGGCAAAAATTAAGTTACCCTAGAATTCAGAAACTTGTTGAGCTTCTTAACAAAATTGGAGAGCTTGGGCTAGTTAACTCTGTCTTGGTTCTGGTCGAGTCGCGCAACAAGTTCGGATTTTTCTTTTTTTTAAATACTTGTGTTGAGTCTATAAATTCTTCTCTGGTAAGACAAACACCCAATGACCATTTACGCTTCACAAATGCTCCTCAGCAAAGAGATATCATATCTCATGTCACCCCTTTGAGTCTTGTGGATAGCACCTTAGTGGCATAGCTACTTAGAAAATATGTCTAAAGTTTCAACTGTGTCCAATTTTTTTTTATCTTTGGTCAGAAGTGATAAAAGGTGGCATTCACAAATTACTGATCCTTGCTATGTGGTGGAAGTGTTGTTGCACAATATGCTTCTTCATTTGTTTTCAATACTTTATTTCATTTTTTTTAATGCTTGTTACTTTCTTTAAAATGACATATATTACAGGGCCGAATATAATCCAGACCAATATTTATGGGAAACAGATTTCACTATTGCTGGGAGAAAATACAAACGACAAGACTTGGAGGCAAGTATAGAAACTGGGTCTCCTTCGCATTTTTGTTTGTAGTTTTTAGCCTGTGATTTTATGTTATCAAATATATTTTTGACAATATGTACAAACCCACGCACCTTTGTAGTATTAAATTCACTGGCATTTTTGTTTTGTTATCAACAGCTCACAAATGGAAGAGGCCATGTCTTGCAGTGCAGTCACTATGTTCCCTCACCTTTCCCAGAAAACACCCCTCTTCCTTGTGTTATATATTGCCATGGGAACAGGTTTGTTCTTGTATTTCTTTAGGATGGTTTAATTGGGGACATGTACTGATTAGGGTTTGCACATATGTAGTTATGTCGTGTGCTGCCTTTTCCCAAAATTTTTGGAAGGTATGCTGTAATCTAAAGGTGATATTCCAAAGGTCCCCCCGCCATCTGTTCCTGATGATGAAGAGTGAAGATTAATCATGGTGGCATCCGATAGAGCATCCTTAAAAGTATGGATAATTTCCACTCTTCACCATTGACAATGGATGGTGGATGTCTCTTTGGACTACCACTTACTAAATTGGATTACAGCATACTTTCCCCATTTGCTATAATAAGTTTGATATTTTTTGAGGAATAATGTTTATTTAAAGGCTGGATATTATTGATTTCTTTCTTTTCTCAACAATGCAGTGGCTGCAGAGCAGATGCCAATGAGGCAGCTGTAATTTTACTTCCTTCAAATATTACTGTTTTTATTCTGGATTTTTCTGGTTCGGGTTTGTCTGATGGTGATTATGTCAGCCTTGGATGGCATGAGGTAAACTGATCTTTCATTTTTTCATGGCCTCACTTTTTTATTTTCAATTTTCTTTTTTTTTAAATGTTAATTGGGTAGGAACGGAACCCGTGACGTGTCGTTGTGTCTCCGTAACCAGGCCACGGGCCCATTTTCTTCATGCATCTGTGTTCTTGTAATTTGTCTAAGTCATTCCCTTGGTTGTCCAATTCAGAAAGATGATCTTAAAACTGTTGTGGATTTTCTTCGTGGCAACAAGCAAGTATCGTGCATTGGGCTATGGGGAAGATCCATGGGTGCGGTCACAAGGTAATATATAGCATTGTTTTGTATTTGTTTTTTTCCCGTAGTCTACAAAAAATTAATTCTTAGTTGGATTTTCTACTCACAGAACCATCGTGTAAGTATCTATTCAGGATTTTGTAGTGGATTCTTAATATTCTGGAATTTCTCATGTTCATACACAAAATTATCATTAAACTACTCTTGACCACTTGTTTCTGTGTTATTTAGTTGTCCATCTACATAGATTCTAGACTCAAATTTTGCTTCCTGGGCTGTTATGATGGCATTACTTTCAGTTCTTTTAATTTAAGCTAATTTGATGTGCATCCGATTAAGATAGATTCTAGACTTTCAAATTTTGTGCTTACTGCGCTATTGGATTTGCACTGCTCTCCATTTTTTTTTTTAGTTTTTATTCACTGCATAATCCCAACGTGGTTTAAAAAATTTACAAATAGATATTCGAAGATTATTTCCCTGAAGATGAAAGTTCCTCTGTATGGTCAGCTAGATATCCAAGACATCCATGCATCAACCTACAAGTGACTCACAGTGTCCATGTTTCAACATAAATAAATGCTAGTTTTGCCAGCCAACTATCTTCTAAATGAAGAGAATGCCTCCCTAGGCTTTAGGAGACATGTTTACTTGTTGGCTTACTGGTGCCATGTTCTATATTTGTAAAATATCGGTGACTTGTTCTCTGTATGGTTATGGAGTTTAGCAACAGTGGTGGTGCCTTTGTAAACCTTTCTAACTTGATTGAAAGTTTTTCTAGGAAATCTGGTTATATCCATAATTCGATAATAAACAATAGTTTCTGTATATCTACAAATGACTGTTGCTTGGAGCCTAAGAGTTCACTCTCAAAATTTAATTGATGCAGCCTTCTTTATGGAGCAGAAGACCCATCTGTTGCTGGAATGGTGTTGGACAGTGCTTTCTCAAATTTATTTGATCTTATGATGGAGCTTGTGGACGTTTATAAAATCCGGCTTCCTAAATTCACGGTATGGGGTTTTCTGTTATATGCTTTACTACTGGTCCTTACAATCATGTTGAAGAGGTGGACTTAGTTGTAAAGTAAATTTATCACATTTTGTTTAATCTTATGCATATATATTCTTTTTAAAGTGAGGCTGTCTTCTTAGAAGCAACTTTTAGAAGATATATTCTGTCAAGATGATCAAATTAGGCAAATTGAAGCCTGATATAATATCATTTTGTGCAGTGTATGTTCTTGGTTCAAATTGCAATCTGTGGCTTAAATGGCTTATGTCCAAATTCATTTCTTTATGTGGCTATGAACACATGAAATATAGTGCTGAGAATTGAAAGTAGATAATTTTTCTTTGTACTTTTTTATATGGCATATGTGCGAGTATGAGATCCATGAAGCCTGTTCGATTGGATTAGGTCATGATAATATACAAATCACAGTACCTATGAGCTGATATGATTACACTCTTGTGTTTGAAAAATTACCTTCTGGTTAGCCCTTGGGGTAAATTACCCATTCACCCTTTGACTAACAAGCAACAATTCTATTAATTGTCTTCTACAAATTGGTGAAATTTTATCCCATTTTGATTCCTGGCCTGTACGTACCCATTTTACATAGATGAAAATCAAAACTAGTTTCTTTTTTATTATCAACACATTAATGTTTTCTGTTTTAATAAGTATTATCTTTACTTATTGAAATTTTATTTTCTTAATAAATATGTCTTTTTCAATTCGTATTACCTCTTTTTGTTAAATATTATCAACTTGATAGTTAGATGTTCTCTTTTCAAATACATTTGCAACTGCATTGACCATTGTCTTGTTGTATCAGGTTAAAATGGCTGTGCAATATATGAGGAGGGTCATTCAGAAAAAGGCCAATTTTGATATTATGGATCTCAACTCTTTACAGGTACATTTTTTTGGGTTGTATTGGAAATTTTCATAACTTGACATAGGCATGATTTCTCTGAACTTACATACCTGAACGGTGTGTTGAACTTTGGGTGCATTCTTTTTTATATCACAGGTTGCTCCAAAGACTTTCATCCCAGCTTTGTTTGGGCATGCTACCGAGGATTTATTTATTCAGCCTCATCATTCAGACCTTATCTTTAAGTCATATGCAGTAAGGAAACACAAAACTCCCTATCTTTGGTTTCTAATAGGTATCTCAATTTGGCAAATTCATCTCCAACTTATCGATGTTATATTACTTTTTTGCTATATGTCAGCCTTTTGCTAATGGTTATCGCGCATAAAAGAAAGCATCAATAGTTGGGCATTTTTTGTGTCATATAATTTTTAGATGTAATCTACTGAAAGAAATGTCAGTGTTTTAAACAAATCTATAGTGACCAACTTTGTTTTTTTATATTGAATATATCAAAAAAGAAGTTGGTTTCTTAATACGTCATCCATAAAACTTTTTGCAAATAGCCCATCAAAGGAAAATTGGTTTTGTTAACTATTTGAACATTTTTCAGGGAGATAAGAATATCATAAAGTTTGAGGGTGATCACAATTCACCTCGACCTCAGTTTTACTATGATTCTGTCTCCATTTTCTTCTACAACATCCTTCACCCTCCTCAAGTTTCTTCGCCATTACCCGCTAAGGTTGAAAAGTACTATGACTTGGGGGATTTGAAGGTTGGTGCCAGCATTAATGAGGTGACTCTCTCTCTCCCTCCCCCCCCACCCCCTGCCCCACACCACCCCTACCTGAAAACAAAAAACAGAAAAGGAAAAAAGAAAAAAAAAAAGAACTTTTCCCTCTGACTAGGAATTCTTATAAAAGATTTTTCCTTGAGACAAGATAACATTCTTTTATGATGCCCATCTACCTTTGAACTTTTCTTACCTCTTATACATGAGGGATGCTTTGTTGGTTATCGATCCTTTTGAAAAGTATGTGGTACACCTTGAAAACAAATATAGATAATTTGATGATTTATGAAACAGCGAGAGATGATTTTTTTTTTTGGAGAGAGAAGAAACAGTGAGAGATGATTTTGCTCATATCTTTATAAGTTTGGAATCGGGCTCTGACTCACCAGGGTCCTGAGCCTGAATCTGTGGCAAAATCGGCCGAGTTGGAGGCTGAGTCTTGGCCCAAAGCCCGGTGAGGTTTTAATAACTGGTTTTACTAATAGAAAAGTATTTTAAAAGCTTAAAATAATTGAGGGCAATAAACCTGATTCATAGGAGGAAATCCGAGGAACTTAATAATTTTTGAAGTCACTTTCAGATTTGAAAGAACTTTTGGAAAATGAGCATAGACTAGAGAAACTCCTATCTTGGCTATTACTCTTAGAATATTACCAAAAAATATCTGAGCTTTTCAAAACAAAAAACTCTCATCCAGAGTTTAGTAGCTTTTCAGAGGAATTTCAGCCACTATTTAAATCTCTCTCTCTCTCTCTCTCTCTCTCTAGAGACACGCATGCGCACACAGGTATGTATATATGTATCTGTGTGTGCACACGCTTCTGTGTGTGTGTGTTCGTGTGTGTGCATGCGTGTGTGTGTGTGTGTGTGTGTGTGTGTGTGTGTGTGTGTGTGTGTGTGGTTTTTTGACAACTTAATGGGTGCACAGATGGGGATTTATGTTAATTTTTATCCTCCCTTTTTGTGGGTAGAGCTTGTTGTACGAGATAATTACAGGAATTCGAATGGTGGAGACAGATGCAGCTAGTTCATCATCAGCTCCTCCTGGTGCACCAAAAGGTAAGAACTGTGAATCAAGTTACTCTCTCTCTCATATGGTTTAGTTTAGGTTTTTCAGCATGGAAACCCTTTTTTCCATATTGAACAGAAATCCAATGCAGGTTTTCCCACAAAATCGGTTGGTGAATTGCTCTCTGAAACTGGAGCTTTTACCCCAATAACGAATGCAATGGTAAGCTGATATGTGTGTTTTCTTTTGTTAAAGCTCAGGAGTATATCACTCTAAGTTTCTTGTCATGCCAAATTTTCTTGTTATGCCAAATCGGTAGGAATCATTTATCAATGAAATTTGTTACTTTGTTAAATTTGTTCCATATCAGGACTTATTGCAACGGAAAGATGATGTGGTTATTGAGTTCAATGGGAAAGATGGTGATGGAGAAATGAGTTTTCAGGTTGGTGCCTTGCTTTCAGTGTGAACATCTATGAAATTGAAATTTAATCCATGATAGTATTTTCTTTTTTGATTTAAGGGAGGAGGCCAAAGAGAGAGAGAGAGGAATGGGGCTTTTATACTGTTTCTAATTCTGAAATTTCTGGCTTGGTATTTCGCAGGAGAAGTCGAATGCGGGGATTGAGGAGAGCTGCTCATACTCGAGTTCCAACCATGAGAGCTGGGGCAGATGCTCCTCCCTCGGAAACAGCGACGAAGAGTCATCCTCTCTTGATTGTTCTGGGAGTAACAGTGTCACCAAAGGACATCAGGTCTCTCCAAAAACCCCAGCACACACACACACACACACGCCTTTCACCATGAATTAATAATCTCTTCTCCTCACTATTCAACATGAATTAGTGTTATGTCTGTATGTGTGTCTATGTGCATATGCATATGTGATTGGTGAGGGCAGGTGCCGCCCATGGGCTGCTTGTGACTTAGCCATTCTAGCACCGTTCCACCTATGCTTGCCATCTGAACCCCATATTTCACCACTAATCAGTACTATATATCTCTCTCCACCGGATCTTTCACCATGAACCAATTTTACGCACCTCTCTCACCATGGATGAGTTCTATACATCTCTCTCTCTGTATACCCCACCTTTCACTACTTAGCAATATTATACATTTCTCTCACCATAATACAATATCATGCATCTTTTACTCCTGCCTTTCATGAGTCAATATTATAGATCTCTCTCCCTCTGGTCTCTCTCTCTCTGACACAAACACACACAAGCACACACAACCTGAGTTAATAGTATGCATCTTTCCTCTCTGTTTACCCCATCTTTCACCACGAGTCAATATTTGTGCATCATAACCCTTTCTCTCTCTCTATGTACACCTCACTTTTAACCATTTATCTATATTATACATTTCTCTCTCACCATATAATATCATTAATATACCTCTCTCTCTCTCTCTCCCCATCTTTCACCCAGAATTAATATTATGCATCTCTCCTCTCTGTTTGCTCCGTCTTTCTTCGTGATCAATATTTTATGCCTCTCCCCTTCCCCCCCATTTTTCACCATGAATCGGCATTGTACATCTCTCTCCCCTACTACTGCTGATGCCGCTGATGTGGTTTGTCTCTCTCCTCTCTTGATTCAGCGGGCTCTAAGGGCATTGGCGACACCTCTACGTAAGATACAATGCAAGTCTCAGTCTCGGTCACATAACAAAGATGATGGATCATCAGCTAATAATTCCAAGAAGCCGAAGAAGAGAGACAAGTTTGAGAAACTAGAGGCACTGAGCCAACGAATACGACTATGTTTCCTATGGCATGTAAAATACAAGAGGCAAAAGTCAACGTGATTTGCTCGCATCATGAGAGAAGAGGCAGAATGGGTATTATGAAGGGTTGAGAGCTCTCTCAATGTATCATATACACACACACACATCTCTTGTAACAGTAATTATTTTTCCTCACACCAAGGCTTTTTTTTGTATGTTCTTTGCTTTCCCTCTCTGTCTTTCTCTCTCCCTCTCTGTGTATTTGCAGGTGTGAGGATGGGAAACTTCCATTCCCTGTTTTGATCTTGTTTTGTATGTATTTCAATATCAGTCTAGTGCGCAGTTCCTTTCCCTTTTTGTTTGCACTTCCGTTTGGTAATCTGGATGTTAATTTAGAATCCAATGAGTCAGGGATTTAATACTTCAGAAACAGATGTAATCATATGCAAATGTGTGTGTGAGAGAGAGAGAAAGAGAGAGAATCAATCAATCTGTGTGTAGAGCTTTAAGACAGTACAGAATGCCAATGTAATTAAACAATCCATTTGGCATTTTGAAGAGAGAGAGCAAAAAAAGCCCTAAGTTTTGACAATTGAGCACTGTATGGGAAGAGAGAAAGAGAGCAAAAAAACCCCAAAGTTTTGAACAATGGAGTACTGTATCGGAACAATTGAGCAATTATTTTTGCTCCATACATATGGAGGCAACTCGTTTCGTCTTCTGACCGTGTTGCCTTGTAGAAGTTTGAGCACCAGTCTATCAACATTTTTAAAACCAAAAGAAAAAGAAGAATGATCCAAAGATATAAAGTGTATTATAAAAAAATTGTCCAACAATGCTAAATAAGTTCAACCAAACAAAATTTCTTGGTCTGACTAGTTGAACGTTGTTATAATTGATGTTTTTATTGAACTTAATTTTTGTTTGGGATTAGATGAACCTAATATTGCTACCGTCCGTCTAATCTACTCTATATGAATACTATGAGAATTTTAAAATAGAGCACAATAGATGAATCCCTGTCTAGAACTGAGGTATGAGCTTACAGACCAAGCAACTTTACTTGTCACTCTTTATTTGAACCGCGGGGCTGATCCCTAAAACTCTACTCTCTCCATACTTTGATATTCTTTTAGGTATGTTAGTGGCGGTCGTAAAGGGTCGGGTCAGGTTGGACTCGGATTTGAATAGTATTTGAGTCTAGATTTTGAATTTGGATTTAATTTTTGGGTTCAAAATTTCGACTCATAATTGGATTTGAGGTTAGATCTATACATCCGGTCAAGTCTAGGTTAAAAAAAAAAAAAAAANAAAAAAAAAGCACCAGGGTTGGGGGAGAGTGCTTGAGGCCCAAACTCTCTCTCTCTCTCTCTCTCTCTCACAGAACAAGAGTGGCCACGATGACATTTGGTCACAAACTCATGATTTCCCTTGGGAGCACCTCAAAATATCACGGGGATGTGATTATCAATTTTAGAAATATAGAGGCTATTTTAGTCATTTCCTCAATAATGAAGCTCCTGGTGGACGTTTCAAAAAACTGTTTTTTCGCAATCAAATCTGTGTCTCTCTAAGATGCTCTCACGTGGTAACTGTACCTTCAATCTTGGAGAGAGAAAACCAAATGACCACCCAATCAAGTAACAATATTGAGAAACCATGTTGAAAAAACGCCTCCCTATCTCTCTCACATTAGCGGCACCCCACTTTCTCTCTCTAAAAACCATCCAGAATTGGCGGTTCCCATTTCTTCTCCCTCATTGAAGCTTGAAAGAACCATTACTGTACAATGTTTAGAGCTACCCATTTCTTCATTTTCTCTCTCTAGAGCTACCCATTTCTTGATTTTCTCTCTAGGATCCCCCCCCTTTCTGTGTCTCTCCTTCTTATTGAAACGAACCATCGTTACTATTTTCAGAAGCACCCACCTATTGTTTGTCTCTCTTTTAATGCGTTTTCTTTTCTCTCTGGTTGAAAAAACACGACATTTCTACTATGTTTAGAAGTACCCGTTTCTTGTTTTTCTCTTTCTAAACCATCTCTGTGCTATCATTCCATAATTACAAGCACCCACATCTTTCTTTCTCATCCCTTGCCTTGGAAGCACCCATTTCATGGTTTTCTCTCTCTAGGCTCTCCGTCTCTATCTCTCCTTCTCATCCTGTTCCATCTGTCTTTTTCCACCAAATGGTCGTGGCGAGGTTGTATGCTTCCAAGTGTTGGGATTGCAACGGCTATTTCTTTTAACAAAGTTTATATGGTTTGGATTTCATCAATTGGGCTCTCTTTATCTTCCCCTAAAGCTTTCACCTTTTGGAGGTTTCATTGAATTGTGGTTCCATTGGAGAACAGGGTGAGTTTGTGGCTTTGATCTGATTTTTCTATCATTTCCTTTTATGTGAATTGATCTCTCTCTCTCTCTCTCTCTCTCTCTCTCCATGCATTTGCTATATATAATGAGCCTTCTAGAAGTTTATTTTGTCTTCTCTGTTGTTTTTTGTAGCTATGTAGTTTTAATATACATTCAAATTGTCCCCTATGTAAATTCATACTATTTGTTATTCAATCTTAAAAATTGATATGTCACCAGAGGAATTTTCTGATGTTTAAAAACTTATGGTTGGAATAACAGGACATGTTCATTTCTTTCTAAAAAGGTGGTATTTTGATTCCTTTTTCTTCAAATAGGCAGCTTTTTTGCCTTTATTCTCTTTTTTGGACTTTTAGCATGAATTGGGACTGTATGATGTTAATAAGTATGTCCTATATCATGCTAGGATAATTATGCTTACATTTATATATAATGATCTCAAATTGTTGAGTTTTTCTTGATAATATGCATTATTACACCTGTAAACACTTGTTTTATTTTCTTCTAAGAGCAATTGTGAGTTACTTTCCTCTCAAAAAGCGGCTGTGTTGATAACTTGATATTATCTTGCTACAAATCTTTTTCAGGACTTTTTCTTTCAAATTTTTGGTTCTTGATACAAATTCAATAATAGGGAGAGTGGGCATCCTCTTTTTACTATTTGAATATGCTGGTGGTTCTTTGAACTATGATGCATGCAAGGGTCCCCCATTTCACATCTTTCTTTTACCTGTTCTCTTTTAACTTTGGTTGCCTAGTCTTTCTTGCTTTATTTTCTAGGCTTTATGATCTGCAAATATGCTGCAATCGTTCTGCTATTGGGTACCATGATGATATGTTTTTCTTGTGGTATTGTTCTCTGAATCTAGGGAAGCTTGGTTACGAATCAAACTGGTCATCTTTTTTTATTTTCAAACTTTCTTCCCGATCTTTTGCTTTATCTAAGAGTAGGTGGTTCCTGATTTGTTGGGTTATATAGATTTTCCTGAGGCAGCTTTGTTTAGTTATCTTCTCATTATCTTGATTCTCACTTCATGCTTTGGCCTTTGATGCTTTGATCCATTGGTAAGACACATGGTGTAGCTTTTTTGTTTATTTACTTCACAAAATATTTCAACTTCAAGTGCTTGCTGAGGTTACCATATGGAGATTTTGTCATGATTAGTATCCGGCAAGTATTTCATGAACCATTGTATGATATGAGAATGATATGTTTTAATAGCTATACTATTCTGTCTTTGCTTCCTTACTATGGTAGGCATTATTTCTCACTGGAAGAACCAGTAGAGCTTCCTTGCTTTGAAGCTTGATACTTGAAAAATAATGAGATCTGAAGTCTGCCATATTGTAATGTGATTGCATGCCTTATGCTCAAAAACTGGTTAGGAGAACAATAAGATGATCATAAATGTATTTATAGTCTGGATTAAAGAAATTCTTATTTCGGCTGTAAAAAACCATCTCAAGTGGAATAATTTTTGTCCGTAACTTAATTTTATCGAACATCAAATAACTTAGCGAAAACAAATTAATGAGCATCAAATTGGACACTGAGAAGTATCTCCAAAGGACAAACATACAATGTAACACTGTATAAAATTATAAAGCGATAGCTAATTTTGGAGATGGTTATTTTGGATGGTTGTTGACTCTGACTAAATCATATACTTTTCTGTTAATGAAGTTTTAAGCATTTGAAGCTTCTCTAGAATTATATGAAGTTTTAATTGGGATTATGCTATTTAATCTCTAGGATAGCCATCTCTGGATAATGATTTCTTGCAATCAGAAAGTACTGCATCTAAATTTGTTTAAGTGTCCAAAAGCAACAATCAGGCACCTCATTATCATGATGTCTATCAAACTAGCTCTCAGTGGTGCCAACTCCAAAGGATACGTGTATATATATATATATATATATATATATATATATACGTCGTAGTAGACTAAACTAATAAGAAGTAATAATAGTAGTAATAACGTAGTAGTACTTAACGTTAAAGTAAAAGTAAAGTAAAAGTAAAAGTAAAG